CACACACACACACACACACACACACACACACACACACACAGAGGCATTTATATATTAAGGTTTATAAACCACACCTTCTATTTCCTCCGGCAGTTCACAGCAGTGTGCACAGTGTTTACTCCCCTCCCACACAACAACCCTGTGGGGTAGGCCAGGTGCAGAAAAAAGTCGCCAGTAGAGTTTCGTGGCTGAGGATGGCTTGGAAGCCCATCTTCCTTCTTCAATGACCACCTCATGATGAAGGGTTCACCACCACCCTTGAGTCAGCAAATATTTGGCCTGGAACGGCTGACCGTTTCTACCTCTATTGTGAGACTCTGGCAGGAGTGCCAAGGTTGGGGAAATCGAATACGCCTGTCCACCCACCTGGGGCTCACCAGTCAGGACTGAATCCAAATAAAGAGGAAAAGACCCTTTTATGACCAGATCATAAGGAATCTACAGAATAACAGAGTTGGAAGGGACCTTAGAGGTCTTCCAGTCCAACCCCTTGTTCAGGCAGGGAACCCTATTCCATTCCAAACAACTGGTTATCCAATATCTTCTTTAAAAAACTCCAGTGTTGGAGCATTCACAACTTATGAAGGCAAATGCCGTATTTTTCGGAGTATAAGACGCACCCTTTTCCCTTAAAAAAAAGAGGCTGAAAATCTTAGATGCGTCTTATACACTGTGTCAGCGTTCCAAATATCATCCAAAATTAAATCAGAGTCCAAGGCACAGCTTTCCTCAAAGTTCCAATTTATGAATAGAGACATGTTGGCAGATCTGTGGAAAGCTCTGCCTTGGACTCTTAGTTTTGGATGATATTTGGAACTCTGACATTAAGAAGATAGAGCCTTTGAGGGGAGAAAAGGCGATGACCAGTCACTTCTCTGCAAATCTTCCAAAGTGCAAAGGAATTTGTGGAGGAGTAAAATTTGAAGATTTATAGCAGATGCAGAGGGAGTGGGGAGGAAAGGCTAATTCTACACACGGCTGGAGAGGGCAAGATTTGGGTTAATGTCAGCGTTCCAAATATCATCCAAAATCATATTATAATATGATATCCATTTTTGGGAGGTTTGTAGAGTGCACAAACTTTTTTTTTTTTTAATTTGCCTCTTCAAAACCTTGGTGCGTCTTATACTCCGGTGCATCCTATACTCCAAAAAATATGGTAATTTCACCGAATTACTAATCCAATGCTCTTTAGAAGGCCAGACCCCGAAGAGGAGACACAAAGGCTTTGGCCACCGAATGAGAAGGAAGGACTCCTTGGAGAAGAGCTTCATGCTGGGAAAGATGGAGGGCAAAAGAAGGGGACGACAGAGAAGGAGGTGGCTGGATGGAGTCATCGAAGCAGAAGGCATGAGCTTAAATGGACTCCAGAGGATGGTGGAGGACAGGAAGGCCTGGAGACAGTGCCGGATTTTCCTATAGGCTAACTAGGCTTCAGCCTAGGGCCTCAAGATCAAGAGGGGCCTACATTCAAATTGTTAG